AACACATGATTTACTCCCTTCACGAAGTATGGTCTCAATGTGTCCTTGAAATGAGCGAGGCCATGATCCGGATCTCGGAGTAAGGCATTATCGAGCATCGACTTATAAAAAGAAGCGGATCCAATGAGGGCATTCTTTAATGATGGTCCGTGCTTATCTGCATCCAGTGTTGTGATCCCTAACCAGTCATCAATTAAATCTTCATATTCAAACCAGCTAGATTGGCCATCAAATTGGGGTGGAACTTTCGGCGTCATTTTGATGCCCATGCGGTTTTCGGAATGACTGGTGGCGGCATATGCTTCCGGCTCTTCATAAGAAACAATTTGGAGTTGTTCTTCATCTGAATCCATGTTGTGGATTAAGACCATGGCAGCTACTCTAACTTGACCTACAGGTTGCCTCTGCAAGTCCGATATACGGAATGTATGCAGAGAACGGCAGTTCGGCACACGGATCTAGACTTGGCGAAGGCACAGGCTCCGCTACCACTTTGAGGTAGCTATCCCCTTTTAGGGAGCCCTGGAACCTAATCTAAACACCTGTGACAAGTGAGAGCGACGGCACTCTTTTTCTATGCTGCGGTTTGCTGCTAGTCTTGAGCCATGCGGAGTGCGCATGAAAGATATGAATTAAGTGTACATGTCAACATGCATGAAAGCATTGTGTAGACACGTAAAACAAAATAAGTAACCGGGGGGGGGGCCGTACGATGGACAGTTCGAGGCTATTTGGCAGTTAGCAGCTACCAGTAAGTGTTTACATAAGAGTCGATGATAAGTAGGAGCGCTGGAGGCGCTGGAGGCGCTGTGAAAGAGCTGAGGGCGCTGAAACCGCTGAAGGCGCTGAAGGCGCTGAGGGCGCTGAAGGCGCTGAAGGCGCTGAGGGCGCTGAGGGCGCTGAGAGCGCTGGGGGCGTTGAGGGCGCTGAGGGCGCTGAAGGCGCTGATCGCGCTGAAGGCGCTGAGGGCGCTGAAGGCGCTGAAGGTGCTGAGGGCGCTGAGGGCGCTGAGGGCGCTGAAGGCGCTGAGGGCGCTGAGGGTGCTGAGGGCGCTGAGGGCGCTGAAGGCGCTGAGGGCGCTGAAGGCGTTGAGGGTGCTGAGGGCGCTGAAGGCGCTGATCGCGCTGAAGGCGCTGAGGGCGCTAAAGGCGCTGAGGCGCTGAAGGCGCTGAGGGAGGGCGCTGAGGGCGCTGAGGGCGCTATAAGGGTGCTGAGGGCGCTGACGGCGCTGAGGGCGAAGGCGCTGAAGGCGCTGAAGGCGCTGAAAGCGCTGAGGGCGCTGAAGGTGCTGAGGGCGCTGAAGGCGCTGAGAGCGCTGAGGGCGCGGAGGGCGCTGAGGGCGCTGAAGGCGCTGAAGGCGCTAACGGCGCTGGAGGCGCTGAGGGCGCTGAGGGCGCTGGCGCTGGAGGCGCTGACGGCGCTGAAGGCGCTGAAGGCGCTGAAGGCGCTGAGGGCGCTGAGGGCGCTGAGGGCGCTGAAGGCGCTGAGGGCGCTGAAGGCGCTGAGGGCGCTGAGGGCGCTGAGGGCGCTGAGAGCGCTGAGGGCGCGGAGGGTGCTGAAGGCGCTGAAGAAGCTAACGGCGCTGGAGGCGCTGAGGGCGCTGAAGGCGCTGAGGGCGCTGGCGCTGGAGGCGCTGAAGGCGCTGAGGGCGCTGAGGGCGCTGGAGGCGCTGAAGGCGCTGAGGGCGCTCAAGGCGCTGAGGGTGCTGAGGGCGCTGAGGGCGCTGAGGGCGCTGAGGGCGCTGAGCCGCTGGAGGCGCTGGAGGCGTTGAGTGCGCTGAGGGTGGCGCTGGAGGCGCTGACGGCGCTGAAGGCGCTGAGGGCGCTGAGGGCGCTGAAGGCGCTGAAGGCGCTGAAGGCGCTGAGGGCGCTGAGGGCGCTGAAGGCGCTGAGGGCGCTGAGCGCTGAAGGCGCTGAGGGCGCTGAAGGCGCTGAGGGCGCTGATGGTGCTGAGGGCGCTGAGGGCGCTGAAGGCGCTGAGGGCGCTGAGGGCGCTGAGGGTTCTGGAGGCGTTCGAGAAATTCTTTATCAAGCCGATCTGCTTGATTATCTTTCTCATATTGCGTTTTTTGGCCTTCGCTACTGATGTTGTGCTTCTTGATTTTCTTGATGTTCGAAGTTGTTATGCCATATGCTCTTTGGTCTTGTCTTTATGATGATACGTTGCTTGATCTCCCCTGCCTCATGCTACGCTGCTTGACCTTCCTTCCCTGCCTCATGATGCTTGATGTCTTCTTCACAACGTTATTCTTTTTGATCTTGTCTTCGTGTTTTTTACGCTGCCTGATCTGCTCTACATCAAGCCACACTGCTTGCCTTTAACAAAGCCGTGTTTTCTGCTTGGTCTTCTCTGTATCATGTTAGGCTACCGGATCTTGTCTTTATGATGCTAGGCTGCTTGATCTTATCTACTTCATGCTGCGCTGCTTCACCCTCCCTACCTCATGTCAAACTGCTTGATGTCGTGTACATCAGGTTATGAAATTTGATATGTTCTTCATATTTCTTCATGATTCATGATGCTAGGCTGCTTGGTCTTCTCTATGTCCTGTTACGCTGCTGGGCCTTCCCACCTCATGTCAGGCTGCTTGATGTCCCCTAAATCGTGTTATGCTTTTTATTTTTGTTTCATGCTGCACGCTGCTGCATTGTTTGATCTTATCCTCCTCATGCTACGCTGCTTCACCACCCGCCCTACCTCCTGTTGCTTGGTGTTTTCGACATCAGATCTTTGATTTTTGATAGTTTGATCTTGCCTTGGCGATGCTACACTGCTCGACCTTGACTACCTCATGTTGCGCTGCCTGATGTCCCCTACATCAGGTTGTGCTTTTTGATCTGGTCTGCATGGTGCTAGGCTGCTTGATCTTCTCCGCCTCATGCTGCCGCTTGATCTCCCCTGCCTATCCCTGCGTCATGTTAAGCTGCTTGATCTTCTCTGAATCATGTTATGCTACTCGATCTGGTCTTCATAATGCCACGCTGCTTGATTGTCTCTACCTCATGCTACGCTGCTGAACCTTCCCTACCGCATGTTATGTTTCTTGGTGTTCCCTGTGCCATGTTATGCTGTTTGATCTTGCCATCAAGACGGTACGCTGCTTGATCTTTTATACCTCATGCTACGTTCTTGACCTTCCTTTGTTATGTTGCTTGTGTTCTCTATATAATCTCTATATATATTGTTGAGTTTTTTGTCTGGGCTTCATGCTGCTACGCTGCTTGACCTTCTCTACCTCTTGTTAGGCTTCTTGGGCTTCCCTACCTCATGTGATGCTGCTTAATGTGCTCTGTATCATACTGTGCTATTCGGTCTTGCCCTCAGGATGCTACACTGCATGATTCCCTACGTCAAACTACACTGCTTGACCTTCCCTAACTGATGTTATGCTGCTTAATGTTGTTACATCAGATCGTGTTACGCTGTTTGGTCTTGTCTTCATGATGCTACGCTGCTTGGTCTTCTCTACATCATGCCTTGCTACACAGCGAATGAATTTCATCAGCAAAGGTTTCGGTTTTAGCAGCCAAAACTATTCCGGGAGCGCAAGTTTTTCGTGTTTGGCATCAGCAGCGTCACTAGTTGCCATTTTCTGGTTTCAGCTAGAAAAAAGCGCTGGCGAGGTGAGGCGCTCAAAATTGCAGATTCTGTGACGGAACTGATGGTCAAAAGACAACAACTCACTTTCATCAAGCAGAAACCAACTCACTTTCGTATATTTTTACCTCCCTGCCAAAGCGTGCACAAGCGCTCTTGGAATGAAGAGACGGGCACGCCCTCAAACCTTTCGCTGTCAAGCAAACGCCGCGCAGCACCTGGTAAGTCTTGTATATACTCCATCCGCCAAATAAACGCTAAGCGTCCATAGCACGGGGGGGGCCCCCTAAGTCTCCGTTCGTGACTCTCAGTTTTCAATTTGCGGGAAAGGGCCAGCCACCTCCCCCAGTACTAAACTAGTACTAAAGTACATAGAACTCAGGTAGCCTAGGCTACCTTTCGTGATTAGGGATTAGGATTAGGGATTAGAATTAGGGACTAGAATTAGGTATTAGAATTAGGGATTAGAATTAGGGATTAGAATTAGGGATTAGAATTAGGGATTAGAATTAGGGATTAGGATTAGGGATTAGGATTAGGGATTAGGATTAGGGATTAGGATTAGGGATTAGGATTAGGGGTTAGGATTAGGGATTAGGGATTAGGATTAGGGATTAGGGATTAGGATTAGGGATTAGGGATTAGGATTAGGGATTAGGATTAGGGATTAGGATTAGGGATTAGGGATTAGGGATTAGGATTAGGGATTAGGATTAGGGATTAGGGATTAGGATTAGGGATTAGGGATTAGGATTAGGGATTAGGATTAGGGATTAGGGATTAGGATTAGGGATTAGGATTAGGGATTAGGGATTAGGGATTAGGGATTAGGATTAGGATTAGGGATTAGGATTAGGATATCCTCCTCATTAAAGGAATCCCGTGTTCCTAGGAGGTAAAGGATTTCAGGATTAGGATTCGCGAAGGATTAGGATTAGGGATTTAGGATTAGGGATATAGGATTAGGGATGAGGGATTAGGATAGGGATTAGGGAGTGCCCTCCAAGGAGAAGG